CCCCACTTCTTACCCTGTGTTCGTGAGTTGTATACGCGTCGACCTGACCCCACCCCACCCCCGGCAAGGCATGAACCTGCGAGAACATCCTGAGCTTCTCATCTGCGCCACGGTATCAAAGAATAGTGCTTGGGGTGCAAGAATATTCCAGCCTCGGACCTCTTAAGGGGCGCATAAGAAGGCTTCAAGTCATGGGACTCTTAAGAGGGGCATGGGAAGGCTTCAGGTCCTGGACTCTTAAGAGGGGCATGGGAAGGCTTCAGGTCCTGGACTCTTAAGGGGGCATAAGAAGGCTTCAGGTCCCGGACTCTTAAGGGGGCATAAGAAGGCTTCAGGTCCCGGACTCTTAAGGGGGCATAAGAAGGCTCCAGGTCCCGGACTCTTAAGGGGGCATAAGAAGGCTTCAGGTCCTGGACTCTTAAGGGGGCATAAGAAGGCTTCAGGTCCTGGACTCTTAAGGGGGCATAAGAAGGCTTCAGGTCCTGGACTCTTAAGAGGGGCATGGGAAGGCTTCAGGTCCTGGACTCTTAAGGGGGCATAAGAAGGCTTCAGGTCCCGGACTCTTAAGGGGGCATAAGAAGGCTTCAGGTCCTGGACTCTTAAGGGGGCATAAGAAGGCTTCAGGTCCCGGACTCTTAAGGGGGCATAAGAAGGCTTCAGGTCCTGGACTCTTAAGGGGGCATAAGAAGGCTTCAGGTCCTGGACTCTTAAGGGGGCATAAGAAGGCTTCAGGTCCCGGACTCTTAAGGGGGCATAAGAAGGCTTCAGGTCCCGGACTCTTAAGGGGGCATAAGAAGGCTTCAGGTCCTGGACTCTTAAGAGGGGCATGGGAAGGCTTCAGGTCCCGGACTCTTAAGGGGGATGAGGAGACTCCAGGTCCCGGACTCTTAAGGGAGCGTGGGAAGGCTTCAGGTCCCGGACTCTTAAGGGGGCATAAGAAGGCTTCAGGTCCCGGACTCTTAAGGGCAAGAAAATATTCCAGATCTCGGACTCTTAAGGGGGCATAAGAAGGCTTCAAGTCCTGGACTCTTAAGGGGGGCATGGGAAGGCTTCAGGTCCCGGACTCTTAAGAGGGGCATGGGAAGGCTTCAGGTCCTGGACTCTTAAGAGGGGCATGGGAAGGCTTCAGGTCCCGGACTCTTAAGGGAGCGTGGGAAGACTCCAGCTCGCGGACTCTTAAGGGGGCATGAGAAGACTTCAGGTCCCAGACTCTTAAGGGGGCATGGGAAGACGCCAGGTCCCGGACTCTTAAGGGGGCATAAGAAGGCTTCAGGTCCCGGACTCTTAAGGGGGCATAAGAAGGCTTCAGGTCCTGGACTCCTAAGGGGGCATGAGGAGACTCCAGATCTCGAACTCTTAAAAGGGTATGATCCTTCCCACGGACTCTTAAGGGCAAGAAAATATTCCAGATCTCGGACTCTTAAAAGGGGCATGGGAATGTTCGCGCCCATGGACTCTTAAGGAGGCAAGAGGATACCCCAGATTTCGGACTCTTAAAAGGGCATGAAAATGTTCCAGCCCCCGGACTCTTAAGGGGGCATAAGAAGACTCCAGGTCCCGGACTCTTAAGGGAACATGAGAAAACTCTTGCCCACGGACTCTTAAGAGCGGCAAGGGAAGACTCCAGCTCCCGGACTCTTAAGGGTAGCAAGAGCACGGTGGACTCTCTCGCTCCTCCTCGCTCGCGGACTATGTTCCTTGGCGTTATCTTGTCTCCGGAATGGTTCAAGTTATCTCGACTTGAACTTGTCTTGTCCAAAGAAATTATGGAGCTGCACTTATTCTGGTGTTACTTAACTCGGTTTGTTAGGCGAGTTGGCCCTTCCTCTTTCGGGCTGCTGGCTCTGCCTCTTCTTCTTCTTCTCTCTCCTCCTCTTCTTCTTCTCTCTCCTCTTCTTCTTCTTCTTCTTCTTCTCTCTCCTCCTCTTCTTCTTCTTCTTCTTCTTCTTCTTCTTCTTCTCCTTTTCCTTGTCTTTCAACTTCTGCTTGATTTACTTCGGTTTACTTGTCTTTTTCTTTCCAGTTACTCTGTTGTTTTTTTCCTGCTCTCTCTCTTTCTGTTTTTTTTGTGCACACACACACACACACACACACACACACACACACACACACACACACACACACACACAAATACACACACACACACACACACACACGCACACACACACACATATAATATGTACATAAAATTCCCGTCTCCCTGCCTGTTCGCCCCCCCCCCCCCCTCCTCCTCCTCCTCCCGCCTCTCTACGAGTATTTCCCATTCCAAGCCAGAGTCTACGAGTCCGGGGCCACATCTATTTTCGAGAGGCTTAATAGTCAAGCTTTTTCTCTCTCTTACTCACCAGATTTTCTCCCTAACTCTGCCCTCTACCTGCCCCTTCCCTCCCTCTCCCCCCCCCCAACCCTGGTCTTATATTCCCTTCCCCTCCTTCCCTCCCTCCCCCCCCACCCTGCTCTTATGCTCCCCCCTCCCTCTTACCCTTTCCTCGTATCCCATTCTTACTCTGCCCCACGCGCTCCTTCCCCTTCCCTTCCCTCCCCCCCCTTCCTCTTCCCCAACCTCTACCCCCCCACCCATCGCATGCCTTCCTTTCCATCCCTTCCTCTACCCTCCCCTCCTCCTCCTCCTTGCCCTACCCCGTACCGTCCCTCTCTCCTGCCCTACCCCCTACCCAACCCCCTAGCCTACCGTACCCCACCCCCACCCCCCTTCTATAGTTCACGGATCCCCGCTCCGGCAAGACTCATTAGCCAGCATTAGTTGACGTTCCACTAATTTCCCCTCCCCCCCTCCCCTTCCCCTTCCCCCCCTCCTTCCCCCTCCTTCCCCCCCTCCACACGGCCTCGAGAGGTGTTGGTAAGGGACTCAAATGCTCGTTGAGATGCCCGGGCAGGGGAAGTGGGGGGGGGTGGTCGAAATGTCCGGGTTGGGGGTGGGGGGGAGAGGGTCGAGATGGATGGGTGGGGGAGAAGGGGGGTTGGGATAGCGAAGGTAGGGGTGGAGGGGAGGCCTGCAGTGGGGTAAGTGGGGGGGGGGAGCTGAAGTGTCTGTGGTAGAGGGGAGATGGGAGGAGGTTGGGGGGGGGGGGCGCTGAAATGTCCAGATGGGGAAGGAGGCTGAAGTGTCTGCGGTAGGAGTTGGGGAGGCGATATCCGGCTGAGGTGGGGGTAGGGGTGTGGGGGTGGGGGTGGCTGTCTGCAGTGTTGGGGAGGGAGGAGAGGCGGGGAGGGGAGAGACCAACGACCGGGGGGGGAAGGAAGGAGAGGCGGGGAGGGGAGAGACCAACGACCGGGGGGGAAGGAAGGAGGGGGGAGGGAGGGAAGGTCGGAGAATTTCGCGATGGAATTAATCACCGCAGCAGATTTCCGAGAATCAGGGAAGGGGTTTTAATATGTTTAGTTAAATGGGGAGGAAGGAAGAGGAGGGAGCGAGGACGGGGAAGTGGAGAGGATTTTGATAGAGGAGAGAGGGAGAGAAAGGAAAAAGGAGGGATGAGAGAAAGAGAGGAAGGAGGGAAGGAGAAATTGGCTTGAATGGGAGAAGAGGAAGAGGAGGGAAAAGGGGGAAAGGGTGAGTAGGAAAGAAGAAAGGAGGGAAAAAAGAGGGAAGAGGAAGGAGAGAATGAAATGATAAATGAAAAGATGAGGGTGAAAGGAGAGAGGGAAAAGATAAGAGAGAGAGAGAAGAGAGAAAGAAAAAGGGGAAGCGGAGGAATTCGAGAGAGAGAATGAAAGGGCGAGGAGGAAGAGGAAGAGAGGACAGGAGAAAGAAAGAAAGAAGTGGGAAGGGGAGGAAGAGAAGAGGGGAAGTGGGGAATTGAATGAGGAAAAAAGTGCGAGTGAAAAGCGATCCGTTTATGCTCTTTGTGTTCCAACCGTGATTAAGTGTTCCTAGAAAAATGAATAAATTATTTAGGAATTTTCCCTCTCTCCTTCTCTACGTGGGCGTTTTTTGTTCGTTTGTTCGTTTCTTTTAGTGAGTGTGATGGTTCCTCTTCTTCTTCGTTGTAAAATTAGTTAGTATTTACATTTCTACTTATATCCTAGAGCACATGAAAGGACAAACTAAAACATGCACGCATGTACGCACGCACGCGCACACACACACACACACACACTCACTCACTCACTTACTCACTCACTCACAATTGTTCACACACATAACCCCCCCAACCCACACACACACACACACACACACACACACACACACACACACACACACACACACACACACACACACACACACACACACACTCACACTTATACGCACACACACTTACACGCACACACCTACACACCTACACACACACACCCTCCACCCCCCTAGCCAGCAGCCGCAAGAGGTCACTCGAGTGCTCTCAGCCAATCCCTGAGCTTCTTACCTTAATTATACAACCAATCAGAAAGCCCGACTTAAAACACTCACACGAGCACTCTCCACCCTCATCCTCTCCCTTAATCCCCTTCTTTTGCCTTCCTCCTCCTCTCCCCTTTTCTCTTTCCTTTTCTGGAGTTTTTTTTATTTCTCTCTCTTCTCTTTCTCTTTTTCTTTTTCTTTTTTTTCTCTTTTTCTTTCTCTTTCTCTTTTTCTTTCTCTTTCTCTTTCTCTTTCTCTTTCTCTTTCTCTTTCTCTTTCTCTTTCTCTCTCTCTCTCTCTCTCTCTCTCTCTCTCTCTCTCTCTCTCTCTATCTTTATCTCTTTCTCTATTTCTCTTTTTTCTTTTACTTTCTCTTTTCTCATTGTCTTTTTCATCTCTTTCCCCTTTACTTCTCTTTCTATTTTCCTTACTCTTTCAGTTTTCTTCCTTTCTATCTGTGTTCTCTTTTCTCTTAACTCTCTCTCTCTCTCTCTCTCTCTCTCTCTCTCTCTCTCTCTCTCTCTCTCTCTCTCTCTCTCTCTCTCTCTCTCTCTCTCTCTCTCTCTCTCTCTCTCTCTCTCTCTCCTCTCCTCTCTCGCCTCTCTCGGCCCATCTTTCCCATTGAAAGATATAGATAGATTGAGAGATAGACAGGTAATAGATAGATACATACTATAAGCAGATATTTAAGAGAAAAAAGATAAGATACAAATAGAGGGTAAAAAAAATACAGATAGAGAAACGCAGACGAAAATTAAGCATAGAAAGAAGGCTAATGAAGATCGAGACGATAGTGGAGACAGAGAAAAAAAAAGATTGAGCAAGCGAAAGAATTTTCAAAAAAAGAGAGAGAAGAAAAATGCCAGAGCGAGAGCGAGCGCAGGCAAGCCAAACAGGCCTCGGGAAGAGAGAAGTTTACACCCGCGTCGAGCAAGAAAGCGCTCTCATCTCCAGCGAGCGGCAAGGAGCGCTAAACACGCGAGCAGAAAATTGCTCGTCTGGATGGCAACACCGCATAAACAAACGCCGGGGTTAAGGGTTTCGTCTACGCATCCAGTTTTAAGGCTTTTGTTCGAGTCCGTGTTTATCCTCGGTTTGTTTACATCTGCCTTCTCCCTCCCCCTCCCTCTCCCCTCCTGGATTGGAAAAAAAGAGAGATAGCGGAGAAAAAAGATATACCGCAATATAAAAAAGAGACGAATAGCGGAAGAAGAAGAGGGAGGGAGGGAGGGAGGGATGGGGGGATATTTCTAAAAACAAAAGGGGAGGGAAAAAAGTGGCAACTCGACAACTCAAGTCTTGATGTTTGTATTAACTTGTATATTCATTGTAGGTAAACAGTCACTGCTGTTCACAGGAAGGGAAAATGCCCGTCGCTGTGGGTGGAGAGGGGGGGGGAGGGAGAAGTTGGGGGGGGAAGGGTTGTAGAAAACGGAAGCGGGGAGAAAATATTAGGGTGAGGGAGATGCAGGGAGATGTTGGGGAATGGAAAGGGAGGGAGGAAAGGGAGAAAGATAGGGGGATAGGAAGAAAAGGGAAAAGGGGGGAAGAGGTAGAAAGAGGGGAAACTGAGGAGAGGAAGGAATGGAGAAGTTCGATAAAGGAGAATAAGAGAGAGAATGGAAAGCAGAAAGAATAGAGAGGGAGATAATGGAAAGGAAAGAGAGAAGAAAGAAAGGAAATGGGATAGGGGACTAGGGCTTAGAGAAAGGGGGGGGGGAATGAGAAGACAAAAAAAAAGAAGAAAAACAGGAAAATATAGACCGTTTTCTAACATTCTTATTTTCAATCCTACCTCTTGCCTCGCACTGAATTCCACTATTTATATTTTCCGTTCCTCCCTCCCCTCTCCTCTCCGTGGGATTCCTCTGCAGTCTACTGTATATATTTGGGACAAGGTTTGGCTTTATTTCTCCGACCTGTTACTCCCCGTTTGCAGTTGATTGCGAATGCAGAGTGGAGTCCTCTCCGGAAACCGGCGTGACGTCGGCTTGGCAGAGTCGCGGCTTTGTGCTGCGTCCGCGTCCGCCGGCGAATTGGCTCGGATTGGGTCGGGGACGGTCGGGTTTTGTCGGGTTGGGTCGGGGTGGGTCGGGGTTGGTTGGGATCGTGGGCGTGTTTTTATTTTTATCATTATTATTATTATTATTATTATTATTATTATTATTATGTTCTTGTGTGTGTGTGTGTGTGTGTGTGTGTGTGTGTGTGTGTTGTTTGTTTGTGTGTGTGTGCGTGTGTGCGTGCGTGTGTGTTTCATTTCCTTTATCTGTCGATTTTGTAGCTCTCTGTTTCTTTCCTGATGCCTTGATGCCCCTTGTTTATTTTGTCTCTGGTGGTCGCTCTCTTCATCCATTTCTCTATTTCATTGTTTTTCTCCTTGAACTTTCTCTCTCATCTCTTCTCTCTTCCCCTTTCTCCTCTTCTTTTCTCTTCTGTTTTCCCTTCCCTTCTCTGCCTCTCTCTCTTTCTCTGTCTCTCTCCCTACCTCTCTCTCTCTCTCTCTCTCTCTCTCTCTCTCTCTCTCTCTCTCTCTCTCTCTCTCTCTCTCTCTCTCTCTTTCATACTTTCCTTCTCATTAATCTTGCTCTTCCTTTTCCCTCTTATCCCTCCTTCTCTTCATTCCTCTCTTTCATTGCTAACTCCCTTTTCTCCTTCTCCTCCTCCTCACCCAGATCTTCCTTTTTCACCTTCACCACCCCATCCTCCTCCTCCTCCTCCTTTTCTTCCTTATCCTCCCTATTCCCCTTCCCTCCCTCCACCCCCTCCACTTTCATTCATTCCCCTTCCCTCCTAGTCCCTCCCTCCTCTCCTCTTCCCTCCTACTCCCTCCCTCCTCCTCTCACCTTTCCCTCCCTCTATCCCCTGCTAGTCCTCCCTCCTCCTCCCTTACCAATCCCTCCCTCCATCCCTTCCCTCCCCTTTCCCTCCCCTCCCCTTCCCTCCCCTTCCCTCCTAGTCCTCCCTCCCTATATCCCTTCCCTCCATCCCTTTCCTTCCCCTTCCCCTTCCCTACCCTTCCCTACCCTTCCCTACCCTTCCCCTCCCCTTTCCCTACCCTTCCCCTCTAGTCCTCCCTCCCCTTCCCTCTTAGTCCTATCTCCTCCTCCCCTTTCCCTCCCATTCCTTCCCCTTCCCTT